GGGATCTTCACGCCTGTGCAGTCCTGAACAGCCCCTTTCACCTTGGAATCTGAGGCAGAATGGAAGACATTGATCCACATTTTTAGGGTCATTCAGTGGCATAAAATGACGGGAAATGTGGAGGGGTGAGGCTACCAGATTCCCAAGGGCGCAGGGAAGTGGATGTGGGCAATGCCAAAGATGTGGACCAGACGCCTGGGCCGGGGCAGCCGGGTCTCCTTGCCGCCTCCTGCCTCTCCCTAGGGACGAATCAGGGCAGCGAAAGCACTGACAGCAACAGAATTTGGGCTGCTAACAGACCTCTCTGCTCCAGGGAAGCGCAGGCACGCCTGACCCAGCACTGCTATTAGCCAGAAGCCCAGAGTCCAAACGCTCAGAGTTCCAGACAAGCACCCAGAAGCAAAAGTCAGGATGGGACAGGCACTCCAGCACTGAGGAAGCAGCTACAATTTTTCATGGAATGGGGAAACCTGAGTAAGAGGAAGACAGCAGTGGCCTGGAGAGGTCCTGGGCCAACCATGCTCTGTGGCCACCCTGGCAGTGGCCCATAAAGCCCTCTTGCTGAAGGGTCCAGGCCTCAGTGTGTTCGTGAAGCTGTTGGCCCGTGCCTCCCTTACAGCGCCCCTGCTCCCCTTCCCCCACCCCTCAACGCCCCCTTCTCTTGCCTGCTCATGCTGAACTCTGCCCAGCAGCCCTGGTGGCCTTGCTACAGCAGGAGCATGGCACTGTGGCCTCAGCCTCTGAGTCCCTCCCTTCCTTGTCACCACTCATTTTCACAGGGACTCCTTGCCCTGTCCTCCTCCAGCGCTCTGCCTTGGTGATTAAGGAAGCTGCACACAGCCTGAGGGCAGCATTGGCCCCTGCCGCCTCTCCCTGCCCTGCGATCCTTCCACCTGTGGGCCCACCTGCCCCGCCTCCCTCCCTCTCTCCTGTGTGGGCAGGAGGGCTCTGCGTGCAGTGAGCCTTGAAGCTGCCTGCTAAAGGCAACAGGACACCCGCCCTACCGTGTGGCTCCATCAGCACCAAAACAGCAGCAGCCTTAGTCTAAATCAGTTGCAAGCCTGTGGCCTGATTCAGTTGCACCACAGTACTGCAGACTCACTGATGGCCACGTTGGTGTCGAGGAAATAATTCTGATCTCCTGAAGGACAGCCTCTCGTGCTGACTGCACCCCGAGCTACAGGACGCCTCCTATGCTTCCTGTGAAGTCACCGAATAGAAGATCTCTCTAAACAGCCACCTCCCACGCACAACCCCCATGACACGGGCCATCACCGTGTGCAGCAGACAGGAAAAAATAAGAAACAGAAAAGCCCAGACACCTACTAAGCTGTCTAGAGCTGAAACTCATGGAGTTACTCCCAAACCAAGAAGTGTCATGAAAAGGAGCTCTCAGTCAAGTTTTGGTCAATGCAGAGACCAAACTGATGTGTAGACTGATGGATCCAGAGGCTGTGACTAAAGACCCATCTTGCAAAAGTGCCTATCTTTGAGGCTGTGTGGTCCCTGCCGCAGTGCCCAGGGATGCAGCTGAGGAGCAGCGCAGTGCCCTCTGCAGAGCCTGCGCCTACGTGGGCAGCTGGGGCGCTCCGCCTACTGGGTAAGAGTCGCAGGCTGCGCTGCAGAATAAAACCAGATGTTAATCTCAAAAAAATAGAAAAAAATAGAAAAAATAGAAAATCATGACATTATCAGCAGTTGCTAGTCTGTGAGGTGGGAAAAAAAGCCTTGAGTTCAATTTTGAATTAATTGCATAAATTTAAAAGTCTATATTTTTGAAAACCCCAAATATAATATGACATCTGCAAAAAATCGTGATTAGACAAACTTCTGTGAGTAAAATTTGTGGAGGGTGATGCCCTTACCCAACCATAAGCTTCACCAAAAACAAGTTGTTGCCTCACATCTCTGTGTGAGGAAGTAGTATGACGTGCTCCACCCTGACTTAATCAGTGCGCTGCGTACCTTGTAGCTCCACACTGTACCCACACGTATGTGATTATGATGTGCCAGTGAAGAACGGGGATGCGAGATGCAATCGATCCATTAGAACTACAACTACATTCAAGAAGGACTCAGCACCGCACGCTGGTCCTCGCCACGGGGCTGAGGGTGCTTTGTGGCTGAGCCACTAGAGCATGGCCCAGAGGAGACAGAGACAATGGGAACCCCGTGCCAAGCCCGGCAAGGTGGCCCTGACCACGGCCGGCTTCCCTCGGCTGCACTGCACTGCTTCATAATGATGAGACGATTCATTTCTACGTAACTGCAAATACGGAAGACGCCTCCACGGGGGAGCGGGGCCAGGGATGCAGCGGGCACTCGGTGACCGTCAGCAGACCATCACCACCGTACACGAGCTGCTAGGCTTCTAGTGTGATGTGAAATGCTGGGCGTAGTCGTCCACCCCAGGACGCATCTGAGCAAGGGACACTGAGCCCCGGCACCTCCCCAGAGCCCTCAGAACACGCAGGAGCAAGGCGCCACTCACCGTTGAGCCAGTAGTGTTCGGAAATGTCAGTTCTGATGTAGTGGTGGTCGTGGTCATGCGTGGGCCCCAGGGACCGCGTGAATGCGGTGTCTTTGCCCAGGAAGTCGGACGCCGTTCCCGAGTACAGGTATTCATCTGCAAGAGGCACACAGGCTCTTGAGGTTGCGCCCGACGCACCGGGCCCCAGGATGGTGCTGCTCCACCTCAGGACGTGCTGCTTCACGAACTCCACTTTCAGAGCTTGAGGACTGAACTTAGGTGATCCGCAGCCATTCTCGGGAGGGTAAGCAGACCAAAGTGCCTGGCCCTTGATTCATGTGCAGTGCCTGCCCAGGTCTCACCAGGGAGAGGGCCAGAAAGGAGCAGGAAGAACAGAGGAAGAGGGGAGGGAGGCTGGGAGGAAGGGAAGGGGACTGAAGGAGAGGGAGGGCGGCCCCTGGGCCCGCGGGGCGCAGGGCCGCACGGAGTCTGCGCAGCGGCCGTCTCTGTGAAAGCTAGGGCTGCCACTGCAAGAGAGCTTGATGGCCCACGGCTTTAGGTTACACTTAATAAAAAAGGAGACTCTAACCTACCTAATCTCCATAGAGCGTTTGCATTTTTTTAATGCAAATAGTGGATCAGAAGTACTGTTCTGTCATCAAAGTTTCATTTTGCCTTGTATGAGAAGTGATTAAAAACTTCCTAATTTGTCTTTCTCACTGAACTCTTGGGGACAACTCAACCTGAAAATGACAGTGGGCAACTTCTCCAGGAAACAAAGCCTGCGTGAGGATCCAGCTGAGGAAGGGGGTGAAGACAGGCACTTCACCTGGCTCCATCCTCTCAGGATACCTCTGCAAAGCACGTCGGGTAAAAGACAATACTTCACTGGGCAACAAATTTTTTAAATTGACCAACATAGCAACATCATCACTAAAAACATCCTCAGGAAGTTTGCTAAGAATAAAAAGAAGCAAACCATCATTTTGAAACACACAAAACCCCAAACATTCAAATATGTTGTCAGGAAAAAAATGGTATATTCCAAGCTAAAAATTGTGTCCAACTATTCAATTTTCAACTGTCTTCCTTGTATCTAAAATTACTTTGGGATTCCTAAGCTGTGTCACAGAGCCCCTCCCTAAACCATTGCTTTATTTATGAAGGATGTGTCAACTCCACTTGACAGAAGAGAATCACAAACTGCCTATTTGGTTTGCTGAAAAAGACAAAGCTAGCTGGGGGACCTTAAAAGCATACCAAGACACACATGCCTTCTCTTCAAAGCAAGGTTCTTGCCAAGGGAAGATTAAAACATCATCGTCGTTTGCTCTTACTGTCTGTTCAAACATTTAATAAGCAAGTCACCTAAAAAGAGGCTAAAGTCACCAGCCAGACACAAAAGGGGCACTGAGCAGGGCTGCGGCTCAGGGTGATGCAGCCGATAGTCTAGGAAACTTCAGACCACACCACAGCACCCCTCCTTTGCACAGAGCTGTCTTGTACTGCAATTTAAGATGTGTCCAGGGAACTTCTTAAAAAGAGGACTGGGCTGGGGAGAGAGCTTGGTGGTCTAAGCACCTGCCTGGCAAGTGCAAGAACCCAGGCTTGATCCCTGGTTTGCATGCCGTGCCAGTCCCAGAATGCTAGGCACTCCATGCTGGCTCTGAAACCAGGTGCGGTGGCGCACACCTGTAACCCCAGTGCTGAGGAGGCTGAGACAGGAGGATCACTATGATCCTGAGCTGCATAGTGAGACCCTGGACCAAAAAAATAAAGAAATTAAAGATTTAAAAAATAAAAAAAGAGCGAATTGAAGAAGAAATGGAAATAGAGAAGAAGAGCCAGGGGGGTTGCCGAGGGAGTGGGGCTCAGTCCCGCACGTGCAGCAGCTGCCCACTAACGTGAGCTCCAGGTGCTGCAAACACGGACTGGTAACAAACACACACTTGAAAAAGACGCGTGCCAGTGCAAGAAGGCCCCGTGCTGGCAGCCCTATGACATTCATAGTGGTGTCACCGTGAAGCTGGGCCAACAGGCCATAAGGTCGCTGTCTATGCCTCACCGTTTGTTCACGTGGTTTACTGATTTATCAACTTATAGGACCATTACATTTAACGTCTATACTGAGCTGAAGAGCAGGGTTCAGGGTAGGAAAAGCCCCATGTGTAAGTGCAAAATTCTCACAGGAGTAAGCAGGTCCCTTGTGAGAGAGACACCTCAGGTGGGCTGCGTGTGAGAGGTGGGCTGCAGCCCGAGGCTGGGCTGGGCTTCCCTGAAAAGAGCACTGCATGCAGAGCGACCCCACTCCTGGCACCAAAGGCAGGCAGGAATCCTCGCTGGTCTGCGCACACCCTTCCCTGAGGTTGTCTGCAAGCGAGGCCTGTGCATACTGAGCTCACCTGTCATCACAGAAGCAAAAGCCTGCTGAGGGTCAAAAGGACACTTCAGTCTGCCGGACTCCAGGTTGTGTGTGTCCAGTTTGAACGTGACTTCCTGCCATGAGAAATATTAACAGATGGAGAATGCAGATCCTGTCAAACCTGCAAGAACCCAGATGACAGGAGCTCCATTCCAACCCACAGCATTCAGTGACACCTAGCAGAGCACACAGTGTGCATTTCAGGTGGCCCAAGGTCTTCAGCCAGGGCCGCGGCTGGGGCGGTTCGGCCACCAGGCCTGGCTCCTGGCTCCCAAGTGCTGATGGACCATTGGACCGCCAAGCACACGCGCACGCATCTGCTTCCCTGGGAAACAAAGTTTCTGCGCCTCACAGAACCAAATTCCTCTGCTAAGAAATACATTTACTACAATATTTATGCTTTCAGGATAATCATTCTGATTTGTGTAACTAAACATCTGCAACTATGCCAAACTGCTTAAAGCCCGTGGCTTTGTTTTAAGCTTCATGACATGAAAGTGCTCTAAGTCAGGCAGTTAATTTCCAGAGCTGTTGATACATGTGGGCCGTAAAAGCGCTCCGCTGTAGTAGTTCTGCTGTTATGGAAGCTCTGTGCACATTAAAGCTGCCTAGTTATTTTGGCTGAAACATCTATTTTTGTAGTAGTGGCCACAGACAGAATGACATTGGCAGACTTTTAATATTCAGGAAAAAATAACATCTTGTGTTGAACTTTCCAAGAAAAATATGAATGCATAATAAATGCAGCCACAGGAGCCCGAGTGCTCTGAAGTAATGGTGACACTGCCGTCGAGCCCATAGGCAGAGGCCTCGCCCTGAGTATTCGGAGAAAGCCAGCACTTCCCAGTTCTCTCTGGATGGAAGAGTAGCTGCCAAGCTGACCAGCACACACCTCCCTGAGAAGGATCA